TTTAACGAGGTTCGAAGGTGGGGTAATCCTTCTACGTCCTCAAAATCCACTATGTAGTTGGTTGTTGAATAATGAACCAACAATTACACTTGTGTGAATTTCTGCAGGGTATATCTTCGCAAGACCAATATTGCTACTGCACTCGTGTTGGCTTTGTTGTTCCTTCGAAGGTCACGCTTCTTCAACAACTGCAAGATCCGAACAATAGGATTTGCAAAATCAACTTGTAAGAAAGTTGATATACCCCCTTTTAATCAAGAAGTTTGATTAAAAGTTGTATCCTTCAACGTGGTGTGGTACTTGAGGCAAGGAAACCTTCAAGTGTTTACACTATAGCTCTTTGGAAGGAAGAGAAGTTTGCTTCTGGATAAGGAGTTTAGAAATCTCTCTTTATCAAGCTTTTGGCTAACTGTGAATGACATAGCTTTGTTGTTTGAGATTGCTTCGTAGTGTTCTCTTGCTTGTTCTACTCTTCTATATTCTCCAGTCTTCCAAGGATGATATTTATAGCTGGATTGGGTAATCTATCCGTTGAATCAAAATAGACTATCCGTTGCATTTGCTGGCTTCAATTTTGAATGAAGATTGTGATTGAGGATTCCTCATTGGAATGGGTGTTTGGACATACGCAATTGTTTGATGAGGGATTCCTTTTTCCACAAAATCCGTCTTCTAGCTGTTGTTCAAGAATTCTGGACGGTAGCTCTTTACTCAGTTTGTCTTCTAGTGCTTGTTTACGAATTCTGGACGAGCTCTTTAGTTTGAGAGGTCCATACTTTGTCTTCAAGTCATTTATTCTTGAATCAGCTTAATTATCTTCAATCTAGCCGTTGAAAATCAAGAGATTGATTTTTCCTTACCAACGGGTAGGATTTCTTCATTCAAGACTTTGATAATTTTCTAAGTCTTTTCTCACTTGTCCGCTTCTGAGAGTTCCGGTCTTTCTTGAGGCATCCGGTTCTTCGCTGACACATCCGGAAGAGTCATTCATAGACTTCCGGGTGAGAAAGAGATCCGTGCTAGTCTTCCGATTCGGATGACTTAGCCTTCAGCGAATTGTACCGAGACATCCGGTTATCATGTAGTGTTCCGGATTAGAGGATCTTTAACTACTTTGAGAAATCCTTACTTGTCTCTAACATTTCTGATCAAGATATCCAATTTCCATATCACTTAATTTGATTAAGTCTTCAAGCATCAAACCACTTAATGAAATATCACAATTTTATTGGAAATCTCAAGAACTCGGTTTTAACAATATTTCTAAAAAGAAAAATTACANTAGTCTTCCGATTCGGATGACTTAGCCTTCAGCGAATTGTACCGAGACATCCGGTTATCATGTAGTGTTCCGGATTAGAGGATCTTTAACTACTTTGAGAAATCCTTACTTGTCTCTAACATTTCTGATCAAGATATCCAATTTCCATATCACTTAATTTGATTAAGTCTTCAAGCATCAAACCACTTAATGAAATATCACAATTTTATTGGAAATCTCAAGAACTCGGTTTTAACAATATTTCTAAAAAGAAAAATTACAGTGAATATTGGGGGAGGCCTAAAGTCCCTATTACAATCTAAATACATCATCATCAAAATCTATAATATTTTCCCAACAAGAATTACATTGTCCAAGGTCTCTTTGATGAGCTCAGATCCTATGAGCATGAGCTAAAGAAGAAGAAGGAAGAAGTACGGAAAACTGACTCAGTCAGAAGTTCAAGAAGTTCTTCAAGAAAGCTGACTCAATCAGAAGGCCATCTAAGGAAAAGCCACAGGTAAGTGACTCTCCTCCTGAATCTTATTTGTGTTACAATTGCAGGAAGCTTGGCCATTGGAAGTCAGTATGCCCGTACCCAAAAGTGGAGAAGTACGGAGAAAGAGAAAGGAACGAGAAGAAGAAGAAGGCAATGGTTGCAGCTGAAAGTGACGAGTCATCCAGCTCAAGCACGGATGAAGAAGCTCTCGTCTGCATGGAGCACAGAGCTGAGAAGTCAAACCATGAGGATCGGTGGACTAAGTGAGTAGATGGCTCTGCCTAATGGCCAAAGATGATGCTGATCAAGAGGTAACTTCACAAACCTCCTGCTCATCTTCTTATGAAAGCATACCAACATCTGAAAGTCTTTTTGACAAGTTCAAAAAGATGATGAAAGATTTTGAGGAAATATATCTCAAACACTCATCCATAACAGAGGAGAACAAGCTGTTGAGTGAAAAGAATCTCAAGTTGACTGAAGGTCGGAAGAGTCAACTAAGTGAGATTACTCAACTCAAGGCTGAAAATGAATCTCTCTCTGATAAGGTGAAATCCCTTAACAAGGAGCTAGGGATACTTAAGTCCAAAGAAGCAGTGGATAAGCTTCTTGAAACGACCAAACATAAGGGTCGCAAAGGACTTGGGTTTGACTCCTCTAGTTCTAAAAGGAAAGGGAAAACAACTTTCATCCCTCCTAAACCTACTGCCAAACAAAATAAGTCGAAAGGAAAGGAAAAGGAGAAACCAACAGAAGTTCCCAAAAAGGTAGTCCCTCCTAAGAACTATAGGAAGCTGGATAGACCTCAAAAAGGAAACAATTTTAGAAGAAAACCTTCTAACCCCAATATACACGAGGCTATACTCATTATGGGGTAGATAGGAGTTTTCCAAGAAATTCTGAGTGGAGAACTATGCCAAGATATAGTCATCCTCCACCCCAAAAATTAGTTGTTCCACCTAAGTATGCTTACAACCGTCACAGGTCACACTATGCACAATCTAGACAAAACTATAGGTCTTATCAACCTAGGTTTGCTAGGAGGAAACAGGATATTGCACCACCTGCACGTAGGAAGTTTTATGCCTACAACTATGACTACAATCCCAACAAGTTTAGAGCTGCAAGGAAAATTCTCTGCAACTTCAAAATTGATGCAGGGACACACCATTAACTATTTCGGACCAAAACTGAATTGGGTACCAAAATCTTTCTCCTCCTAATGTAGAAAGCCGCTAAGTACCCAGGTGTCTGGTACTTAGACAGTGGCTGTTCAAGACACATGACGGGTGATGCGAGTCTTTTGAGCAATCTAATTCCCTATGATGGTCCAAGAGTTACTTTTGGAGGAAGCAATGATTTTGGCCTTACTAAAGGGCTAGGAAATCTGGTGTACAAGGGACTAACCATCCAAGGTGTACAAGGGACTAACCATCCAAGTTCTCACTGGGGAGAGAATCAGAAACATCTATGAAGTGATATGGGACGATGTCAAGGAAGCATGCCTAATCAGCAAAGGTGACACTAACCTTCTATGGCTTTGGCATAAGAGGTTGAGTCATCTCAACTTCAAAACTCTCAACAAGCTATCCAAAAAAGGGTTAGTAGAAGGTCTTCCCAAAGCTGTGTTCAAGAAGGAAAGCATTTGTGATGCTTGTCAGAAAGGAAAGCAAGTCAAGTCCACTTTCAAGGCAAAATCGGTACCCTCAACTACAAGGATATTCAGTCTTGTTCACATGGACTTATTTGGCCCTGTTACACCAATAAGTCTAAGTGGAAAGAAATATGTCCTGGTTGTAGTTGATGACTACTCAAGATACACGTGGACAATCTTTCTCAACAGCAAGAAGGAAACACAAGGGAAGCTCACAAACTACAAGAAGCTGATTCAAAACCAAGCAAGTCAGACCATCCAGAGGATTAGATCTGACAAAGGCACAGAATTCCTGAATGAAATCATCATTCATTACTGTGAAGAAAACGGAATTCCTCATCAGACATCAGCAGCAAGGACACCTGAACAGAATGGTGTAGCTGAAAGAAGCAACAGAACCTTGAAGGAAGCAGTAAGAACCATGCTAGCGGAATCTTTCTTGCCAAAGAGGTTCTGGATCTCTCAAACAAAGATGAAGAAGTCAATGAAGGAGATAGAATGAAGCCTACGGAGTTCATTCCATTCGGAAGTCTACCACTAAAGACTTCACAAAGAAATCCAGATTCAGACGGTGCTGAGTCTACCGGAAATCATGGCCAGTCTTCCAATATTCCGGATCACTCAAATGAAAACAATTTCGGAAGTGGCGACCCAGTTCCAATCCATCCGGAATCACCAACAACTTCTGTTCTTCAACCAGAAGCTGAACTAGATCAACCAGTCAATCCTAATCAACACAATCTTCGTTGGTTAAGGGATCATCCTCCTCAACAAGTCATTAGAGATATTCAATCTGGCGTTCGCACAAGGAGTGCTCAATAGAATCTAGAAGCCATGCTTGCTTGTTTCATCTCACAAGTGGAGCCAAATAAGGAAGCTCTTTGCACCAAGTTCTCCACCTTCATGCAAGGAAAATTTGAGAAGAGCATGAATGGGGAACTCAACTACTTCCTTGGTCTTCAAATCAAACAAAGAAGTGAAGGGACTCTCATCAACCAAGCCAAGTACACAAGGGATCTTATCAAGAAATTCAAAGTTGAACAGAAATCATCCGTTTCTGTCCCCATGAGTACATCCACTAAGCTTGATATGGATATAGATGGAAAGGATGTTGATCAAACTCTCTACAGAGGAACATGGGTTTATGGTATGCTAAGAGCAATTCATTTGAGTTAGTGGGATACTCAGACTCTGACTTTGCCGGATGCAAAGTTGATCAGAAGAGTACATCTGGTACTTGTCAATTCATTGGCGGAAATCTTGTTTCTTGGTTCAGTAAGAAACAAAACTCCATCTCTACATCAACAGCAGAAGCAGAGTACATTGCGGCTGGTAGTTGTTGTGCTCAGATATTGTGGCTAAAGCAACAACTACTAGATTATTGATAAGTTCATTTTGTTCTTATTTTATTCCACATATTTTAAGCGTTATTTCACGAAAATAGTAATAAATTTACCCATTAAAAGTGTCTACTAGTGACAAAACTGATGTTTTGTCTCAAGAAGAATAAAATACAGGTTCTAAATTACATTAAGTGGATTTGTCAATTTTATGTACAAATCGGATAAAAAGTTTTAGATTTTAAAGATCATATTACTTTGGAGGTAGAAATCAGTGTCCGGGAGTCAATTGGGCCGATACGGAACAACTTTGGGCCCAAAATCACGAGAAACCGCAATTGGAAGCAAAATGGGCGCTGGATTCAGGTCCTAGGTGTCCAAAGTTGGACGCCCAAGCAAGGCTGGTGACACAGAATGACACGCGGCGCAGCACGAATGGACGGAACACGTGGTCAGGGTACGGGCATCCAAAGTTGGACGCCCAGAGGGTTGGACGCCCGCGTACCCTCCCCGCGTACCCTGCCCTATAAATACAGCGACATCCTCACTCATTCCACACCACTCTCAACCCAATTTCGGGTTCCACTCTCCCAATTGCTTAAAATATTTTGTATATTAGTTTTAGTAGTAGTTTTAGAGTATTTCCGGAGGATTTGACTCTGTTCCGCTTTTACGGAGGTTGTAAGTTTTCTTTATTTAATAAAATGCTATTTTAATTTATGTTTGCATAGTATGAGTTAGGGTCCAGATCTCTGGGTCCGGACTAGTTTGGTTGTTTATTTTTTTGATGTTAAATTAATGTTGGAATGGTTAATCTATTGTTCTTGCCTTATTTAGTTAATTATTCTCGAAAGATTTAATTAGCTATTTATTGAGAAAATATTGTATGCCAAATGATGTCCAGACCCTAGGTCCAGATCTATACTTATACTATGTAAACTTAATTTATTTATTATTTTTACTCTGCCTTCTATAATCGTTCCGAGAAGACTTTCACAAACCAATCCTAATCTTCGCCTAATTAGAGTAATTAAACTAATTTCATTCGTCCACTCCTCGAGAGATACGACACTCGGAGAGAACTATCACTTTACTGGGAAGGTTTACTACCTGAAAAACTACAATTGTCAAATGGCGCCGTTGCCGGGGAGTGGCACGGCAATAGTTTAATTTCTTCTGATTAGCTTGGGTGAAGATTGGTTAGAACGATCTTCTCACTTCTTTTCACCAACCACCCGTAATAATTATTATGGATAACCCAAGTGGTTATTACGATCCGCCTTCTTTCTACCAATCACCCAACCGCCCTCCGTACCAAACCCATTCACCTTACCACCCACATAAGAACCCATATGATGATGACTACCAAGTCGACAATGGGTCTGACTACTATCCCTACCATGAGGAACCACCATGTGATACCCCGTCTAGAAACTTTGGATATTCTCCATACCAAAATTTTGATGGGGATAATTATTATGAACCTCATGGAGATAACAATGACTATGACCAATATGGGCCAATGCACGACAATCAATCTGATCCACTCGTCGAAGAAATCATAAGATTAGAACAGAAGATCTTCTATTTCGACGAAGTTTCATTTGCTGAAGGCTCCTGGTACGAACCACCTTACTGTCGTGACTACACCTTGTTTGCTGAAGAACAAATTGAAGCAAACAAGGTGGCAATTCGAGAAAGAGCAAAACTTCTTGAATCAGTCCGGAAGGAAAAGGAATTCGAAAGGAGATTACACGAAGGATCAAAATTGATGCAGAAAATGATGAATGACTTCCAAAGAGAGAGACTAGAAGCTGAGGCTAAAGCTGATAAATTAGTCAATGATCTCTGTAAGGCTGTTGAACTTAAACGCTTCCTCCAATCTCAAGATCAAATGAGGGAGATTAATGTTCAAAAAGAGTATCTAGAACCCAAGACCAATCCCTGAACCCATCAACCAACAGGTTCCAGTTCTAGAAGATTCACCCAGTTCTACATCGTCACAAAAGCCCAAGAGCATAACAACTCTTGCTGAGGCTACTGTGGTGATGTTACCCGAATACCCTCCAAGCCAAGTCTCAACCGGCACAGTCGTACAGAAGGTGGAACCAACTGAGGGACCTGACTCAGAACCACCTATGCTTATTCAAGAACAGAAGGAGGAGGAAGTTTTGCCTATGGCAATAAATGACCATATCCTTAATTGTGTTGAAGACACGCCTCCAGAGGAACATGTTCTGGAGGAAGTAGAGCCCATTACCTGCCCCCCAAGATTCCAATGTCCAAGCGTCTGAGCAAGAATCTACACACGAGGAAATACTTTGCATGGAAAAGCCAACTCCGTGTGTAGAGACCTGTGCAAATAACGATTCATCTAAAGATTCAGACCATACTTTCTTTGACTCCCTACTTGACGAGTATGACTATGTCTGCCCGAAGGATGGTGGGAACTTAAAAAGTTGGGATGAACTTCTGGTAAGTAACGGCGAGGATTCTTCCTTGGGGGAGGGTATGATCGTAATCATCAAACCACATGTGTGTTGGAATGCATGAGTTCAACCCTTTCTGTGTTGTTAAGTGTTGACTCACAGGTTTTGATAATTGAGAAACACAACTTATTCAAGTCAAGATCAAAGTGCTACAACGACAAACACGAAGACTTGAGGTACCATTCCTTGAAGTATTCAAGAAGGTGCACAGGATTTTATTGAAGTCCGAGACGCGTGTGGAGCGCCTAACAGAGGACTCGGAGGAGTAGAAGATTTCCGAAGACTTTTTATTTATTTGAGTCTTAGGAACTACTGTAAGGATGACAAAAATATCTTCTCTCCAAAACTATTTTTATGAGAGTTAAAATAAAAATTATATTTATTTTTGGAGTCAGTTGAAAAATCTTTTTAACTGTTCAAAAAAGTTTTATTGCGTCAGTTACAAAAAAAGTGTGTCAAACATTTATCAAATATTTATTTTGATATTATAAAAAAATTTTGGTAAGCAAAAATATTTTATTCAAATATTTTTCGTGTACATCATTTGACACACAAAATAATTTTTGGACTCACTTTTTACTCCCTTATTCAAATACTTTGAATAGGAGAGGCTTTGTTTGAGGAGCGTCTCTCATTCCTCTTGTCTGAAACAATCGCGTTAAGACATTTTTTACTTCTCATCTCGCAACTGGCTTGGGGCCCTTGTGTTTGTGCATCATTTCAAATCTAATCGATTAATATTCTCACATTAATCGATTTACCCATTTTTTGTTTTGATTAATCGATTAAATTCTCTTGATTAATCGATTAATTGAGTTTTACTTCGTGTTGAGCTTCTTTGATATAATCGATTTTTTTCTTCCCATTAATCGATTAGTTTACTCAGACCATTCTAATCGATTAATAGCTTTGATTTAATCGATTATCTTTTTGCGCAGACTGCATTAATCGATTATTGGCACTGCATTAATCGATTATTATGTTGCATCTTTTCAGCACAGCTTCTTTTCTTGGACCAACGGATATATTCCTTCAACCCCTTTATAAACTTCACTCCTTGGTCATTTTTAGAATGAACAAGCACTCCTAAACTCCCCCAATCTTGAGGTTATAATCCTCCATTCATTTCTTCCTCAAATAGATATATTATGAGAAAAATAAGTGTTTTCAAGAGAGTGTTCTTGTCATCAATAGAGCTTTAATCATTTCTCATTTCTACTCTTTTGAGAGCTATTGTTGAGAGGTTGAAGAAGATTTTTCTTCTTGTTGTTCAAGTGAATATACTGAATTCAGAACCAACACTTCAGAACATCTCCCGTATAGATGCTCGCCAACACAGCTCCGAACACCCTAAGTTCAAGAGCTCAACATTTGCCAAACAATTCGTGGCGTAAGCTTAACGGAAGTAGTGGTAGCTTCGAGAGAGTCTCTCGGGGAACTGGACTAGCCACGAGGTGGTGAACCAGTATACATCAGTGTGTTCTTTGCCTTCTCTCTTTTATTTCCGCTGCACTTACGATTATATTATTAATCCTGCGAAAATCGGCAATCATTCTCAACAACTCTATTCACCCCCCTCTAGAGTTGCACGCCTTGTCTAACAATATGGATGGTCAGCCTATTGAAGATAAGGAAAAAATCAATCTCGCTATGAAGGCCAATGATGTGGATCAACTGAGGAGACTTCCGCCCTCACCCTCCTATACAAAGTTTCCTCCATATATCCTGTTGCCGCCAAGCCGCAGGGATGAGTCAAGGATCCTGGACCTTGACCGAGCAAAAATTCAAACAGGGTTGCATCAGAAGACAGTCAAAAGGGCAAAACTTTATGACTCTCGGATCGGAAAGTCACGGAAAAAGTGGGTGAGCGTCAAGCTACGGACGTTAAAGAAGCGTTTAACGGGAGGTAACCCGTCATTCAAATAACTAAAATATTTAAATAAGTTCAATAATTTTATTTGTTATTCTTGAGTTTCTACTTGCCACACCAGTTTTGGGGGCAAGATTTTATGTGTTTGTTTATGTGTGTGCAGATGCCTCATCGTCCTTCTTACCCTACTGTGGACCGTAATGAGGTCCAACTGATTGATGCTGCTTCTAGGACGAGGTTCGATGAGTGGGGACACTCACGGGTGTTACACGAGTCGGTGTGTCTGGCTCAGAATACACTGACGGGCTATGGCTATGCAGAGGAGATGGAGTAGCTGCTTGAGGGGACAAGATGGCAGCGCTTGCTTCAGATGAGGGCAGAGTCTAGCCTACCACTGACCATCAAGTTCTTATGCTCGATATCTGCTGTCCCGGAGATTGAGTCACGACAAATGACTCATAGTTTGATCACTGCTGATACCACATTTTCCTTCACTCTTGCGGGCCAGTCGTTTCAGTTGACAGTGAGAAAGATGGGTGTTCGTCTCGGGATCTACACCCAGGAGGAGACCGAGCAGCCTGAGTTCTACGACGATCCCTTTTGTCTTCCCGCAGATTTTGATGCTATAGCTTTCTGGAGGGAGCACTCATCTGACGACAAGGAGTTTGTGAACAAGAAGAGTAAGGCACGCTACTGGATTCGGCCCAGCTGGAGGATCCTATCTTTTGTTCTTTCGACATCCTTCTTTGGGAGGCCGTCGAACACTGATAGGGTCTACGAGGAGGATATGTTTGTCTCCTAGAGCTTGCACGACCGCCAACCGGCGAACGTGGCTGTGTACCTGGCCAGATTCTTATACTCCCAGTCCTACGGGTGTAGAACGTACTTGGTGTGTGGGTTTGTGATTACTTTGCTCTTTCGCTCCCTCGTGGGGGATGCACCCATCCCACGGCTTGTGCAGTTGATGAGGGATTTAGATGCCGGCATGCTCCGGAATGCTCACATCCACCGGAGACTCTTTCCTAGCTCTTCTGAGAGCACTACGACCTCTACTGGCCGCACTTCACATGAGATTGGAGAGTCATCCGGTCAGTCAGAGAGATCGTCTCAACGCCTTCCTCGTCGACGACCTACCAGAGCACAGTTGGCTCGCGCACAGACGGAGGTAGCACCGGCGTAGGCCCAGCAGCTCTTGCAGAACCAGAACACACTTATGCAGTCCGTTGCGGCACTCCAGCAGCAGGTGCATGGTTTTGACAAGATACGTGAGGCATTGGGTTTCGAAAACCCGACAAACCTCCCTCCGCATCAGCAGCAGCCCAGAGATGACAATCCCTCCGCCTCCCGGCCTCTGCAGTGATCTCCTACTTTCTCCAGAACTTTTTATCTTATTTGAGCCGGAATTGATGACTTGACTGGTTTATTTGGATTCCTGTTTGACTTCTTCTGGTAAACTTTTATGGTTTTACTTATTTACTATTTCAATCATCAATTTGAATATGTTACATATGCAATCATCTTAGTCATCATATCCTTGATATTTCAACCAAAAATTCTACTCTGAGACACTTTTTTGCCGCGAGGGCGCGGTTCTGTTCAAGTGTGAGGAGGATGTGAATTATTGGTTAAAATATTCCAGGTTAGAATTGTTTGCTTTGCATATTTGTGGGTAAAGATTTTATAAGTATGGTCATCAACTCTTTTGTTTAAATAATTAAGTCTTTAGTTATCACCCATAAAAATGGAAATTTTTAAATATTTTGTCAACTTTTATTCTTTTCCCTAATTTTTTTTTCAAACGATTTCTAAAATCATTTGGGATACATTAATATTTTCTAAGTTTTTTTAAAGATCAATCAACTTTTAAATAGCTTATTTAAAAAATGTCATTTCTCATAAAGGTTTCGTCTAAATATAATGGTCTATATTTATAAAAAAAATTCTAATGGTTTATATTTTGAGATTGCGCTTAATTGACGAATTGGAAATTCTATCTCCGTAAAGGGGCTCTGCTTCTCCCGCTAGTCGCATAAGGCGAGGGAGCAAGTATGCATTTGTCATAGAATAAATCCACAATCTCAATAATAAAATATGCCTTGGTAATCCCGATATTCTCTCGTGATAAATAATGCTTAAAAAATAAATAGGCTCTTATTGTTTGACAAAAACCCTTTTTGGAAATCCATTTTTATTAGAGCTTTTAAACGCTTTTTGATTTGAAAAAAAATCCTTACAAATATGATTATCCCAATGAAAATTTAGAGTTTAGTTTGATTTAATTGGGTAAAAATATTAGTTTGACAAAATATTTTCAAATTTCTAGCAATATGGGTGAGAATCTATAAATTTATTCGTTCACATAAAAACGTTGATAACCATCTTATCCTTCCTTTCCTTCAAATTGTGTAATTTAAACTTTTCTTCTGTGATTACTAATTTGTTTTCATACTTAACTTATTCAATTTGTTGCTTGAGGGCAAGAAACGTTTAAGTGTGAGGAATTTGATAAGTTCATTTTGTTGTTATTTTATTCCACATATTTTAAGCGTTATTGCACGAAAATAGTAATAAATTTACCCATTAAAAGTGTCTACTAGTGACAAAACTGATGTTTTGTCTCATGAAGAATAAAATACAGGTTCTAAATTAAATTAAGTGGATTTGTCAATTTTATGTACAAATCGGATAAAAAGTTTTAGATTTTAAAGATCATAACACTTTGGAGGTAGAAATCAGTGTCCGGGAGTCAATTGGGCCGATACGGAACAACTTTGGGCCCAAAATCATGAGAAACCGCAATTGGAAGCAAAATGGTGGCTGGATTCGTGTCCTGGGCGTCCAAAGTTGGACACCCGTGGTGGTTGGATGCCCAAGCAAGGCTGGTGACACGGAATGACACGCGGCGCAGCAGGAATGGACGGAACACGTGGTCAGAGTACGAGCATCCAAAGTTGGACGCCCAGAGGGTTGGACGCCCGCGTACCCTGCCCTATAAATACAGCGGCATCCTCACTCATTCCAAACCACTCTCAACCCAATTTCGGGTTCCACTCTCCCAATTGCTTAAAATATTTTGTATATTAGTTTTGGTAATAGTTTTAGAGTATTTCCAGAGGATTTGACTCTGTTCCGCTTTTACGGAGGTTGTAAGTTTTCTTTATTTAATAAAATGCTATTTTAATTTATGTTTGCATAGTATGAGTTAGGGCCCGGATCTCTGGGTCCGGACTAGTTTGGTTGTTTATTTTTTTGATGTTAAATTAATGTTGGAATGGTTAATCTATTGTTCTTGCCTTATTTAGTTAATTATTCTCAAAAGATTTAATTAGCTATTTATTGAGAAAATATTGTATGCCAAAAGGCTATGATATTCAAGAACGGATTAAGTGCAAATCTAGAAATGGATGAGTAGTAATAGAAATATTATTATTTCAATTGTTAATTTAATATGATAAAATAAATCCAAATGATGTCCAGACCCTAGGTCCAGATCTATACTTATACTATGTAAACTTAATTTATTTATTATTTTTACTCTGCCTTCTATAATCGTTCCGAGAAGACTTTCATAAACCAATCCTAATCTTCGCCTAATTAGAGTAATTAAACTAATTTCCTTCGTCCACTCCTCGAGAGATACGACACTCGGAGAGAAAACTAACCCTTTTCTAGGAAGGTTTACTACCCGAAAAACTACAATTGTCAATTATGGAGTCAAAACAAAGGAAGTGACAATCTTTTGTGACAATCAAAGTGATATAGTTATCTCACAAAATCAAGTGCATCATTCTCGCACTAAGCACATTGATGTCAAGCATCACTTCAGCAGAGATCATGTTGAAAAGAAAGATATCAAAATTGAGTATATCTCAACTGAAGAACAATTGGCGGATATCTTCACAAAACCACTAAGTGAAGCCAAGTTTTCCGATTTGCTTCACAAAATTGGTCTAATTCAATTAAACTGAGTGCGGTACTCGTGGCAGTCCATTTTCCACGTCTGTCAAAGTAGTGGGTAGGCACGTGGCCTTGGGAATAGTTAAAAAAACCAATCGCCACTAGCCGCATAAATCACCTAAATTAAACCCAATCGCCACTATAATCAGATCTCAACTGCCCACTCAGCCCACTCATGCAGCTCAAACAGATGATGCAGAGAGCCCATTCATGCAGCTCTACTTTGACTGGAGAGCTTGGAAGGATGGAAACTCAGCACAACAGTTGTTGGGATGGGACCAACAACTGAAAAATGAGAAGATAATCAAGAAATGTTTGGGTCTGCCAGTCAATCATTGCTGTGAGCAAATTCTGGATGTTGACTGGGTGTGGCAAAGAAACTATGAAGATTTGCATCTGGAACACTTGGCCACCTCACCAGTCTTAGAATTTGAAGTGGATGATAAGGATCCTGCAGTCTACAGGCCAATCTTTTCAAAGGCAACAGAAGATCAGATGGTACTCACCACTGAAGCACAAGCTGATATGGAAGCAACAACAGAGGACTTCCAAGTCTTTCCGGAAAACTTCCATGCTTTTGAAACTGTTCTGCCTGAAGCTGTCCAGGACAATGCAGCTTCTTCACAACAAGAACAGAACCAGGAAGCATCAGAGGAAGAACTTCTTTAACTTCTCCAAACTCAAGTTCAAAAGATCCTCACAACTTGTGAGATCTCATAACCAACTGAACTTGAGGTTCCGGAGAAGTCAGTAGAGAATCTGGAGAAGTCCACTCCTCCAGAGACAACTGCATATAAAGCTCAAGAAAACCCAGCTGTAGAAGTCCAGAGGAGTTCTGCAGAAGCTGAAATAGCCACACTGGAAGCCACTGAAACTCCAGTCGCTATTTTTGAGCAACAATTTGAAGATGAAGAAAGAGATTCCCTCTCCAGTGACATCTCAAACTTTGTGATTGATGAGGAAGAGTCTGAAAAGACACTGAGGATTGATGATGAAGAAGCTGAGCAAGGAGATGCTGAATCCCTCCCTATGCAACTCTTCCACAAAGTACCTTCTTCACATCAGGTAATAAACTTTCACTTCCACAGCTCTTCCACATCCACCCTTCCGGATGAGATTCCGGAAACCTGGACAAGAAAGGTCCAAGGGTTGATTGAATCGGCCCTAGAGTCTCAGCATGCCTCTTTTAGGCAAGAGATAGAACAAATGGAAGTTAGGCATAACAAGTTGATAGAAAAATCCGAAGAAAAACATTGCTCAGATCTCAAGGAGATAAGCAAATCGGTGGACAAGACTCTAGAGATCATTTCTCTTTTGAGTAACTCTGTGAGCAATACAATGTAGGCTTATGCATCTGACTGTCATCTTCAATTCAAAGAAGTCTCTAGAATCAAAGAGCAAATTGCAACAGTTACAGTCAGCCTACAGAAGCAGATGTCCTTTCTCCAGATGGATATTAGGTCAGCCTTGGCAGTGTCATCAGCAAACTAAGTGGTAACCCAAGACTACCTCAAGGTTATTGCTGAAAATCAGAGGGAAGCATTCAAGCTGTTCAGGCATTTTGGGACCTACACTGGCAAACGCAAGCTAGATGTAATTGTCCAACACAATAGTCCATCCCTGATTCCACAGCTTCCTATTGAAGTCAAGAAAGGAGAACTCACATACATTCCATCTCATCTGAACATGACGGAATTAATACTTGAAGCCCAGCAGAGCAATCCGGAGAACTCAACGCAGCATCTGACAGACACTGGTCTTGATGGAACAGAAGCTATAGGAACCATTGCCTCTCACTTCTCAAATGATGCTCAAACTAAGGAAAGATACAACAACCTCAGGCGCATCAAAGAAGAGTGTGGAATCATGCAAGGCATTGGTGAGACTGCCGGATCATCCAAGCACAAGAAGCAGTGAAGGCTCTTTTCATCAAACCAGGGGGAAGTATGTGAAAACATTATTTTGTTTTTATGAAAACACCTTCTTGTTTAAACATGAGTTTTGGTTTAAACATTGCTTAATACTTCTCTTAATTATGCTTATTATGCTTGATCATATTCATTCTAAGTATAATTTTTGAGCGCATACATTCAGGGGGAATTTAATTCAGGGGGAACTTAACTATTTTTGGCTAACAATTGTTTTTGGTAATAAACTATTGATGAATGCTAAGAAATGGAAGACGGATACCTCAGTTTTAGTACTAAAGTTGAAGAACTCCGATTCAGGTACTTTACAAAATCTACCTTCTTAAATTGAGCTTTAATCTTTAGTTCATTTCCAACTTTGCTCCAAAGTACTGGTCCATAGGATTTTATAATGTACAGGACTTTGGAATAATAGTACCACTTTTTCTTTTAAAAATGAATTTCAATTTTTTTGGTACTATAGATGGATCATCGAATCAGAATGACAATTAGATGCTCAAACCCTCATGAGGAAATTAACGAAAATCATCATATTGGGGAAAAAATAACCTTTTAACCTGATTTGGAAAAGAAAATTACCTGGAATTGAATAAGTGAAAGATAGGGAAACGAGTGGCGGACAGAGCTCTTGTTCCTCTCGTCGAATTCCTAGAAACAGCAGGGAAGGTCTTTGGTCAAATACTGCTGGCGTCTGAAGGAGTGGCTGAGGGACAACTTGTACGCAGGCGGCAGCGGCAGAACTTTGCACGAGATTGTGAATCTAAGGAGAAATTTCCACCAAATTGGATTGCCGCTGTATTTTTTAGGCCAAAAGGGAAGTTAGGCGGCAATCCCAATTGTGATTGCTGCTGTATTTTTTGAGGAATACTCCGTAATAACTATTTCTAAACAATTGCATTTTTTAATATATTTTAGTTTGGCCAATTTAGAAGTATATAAATATATAATGAGAGTATTAACTTTAAAACAAGAAAAATGAAAAAATTGGTCACTAAAAGTAACACCTTTTAACTAGGGTTTTTTCCCCTCATTAAAAAAGTACAAATAACACATTTAATGAGAGTATTTGTTGAAACACGGGTTTATCACATTTTCGTACTAAAGCCGTGTTCGTTGTTATGACAGGTTTTGATAATGCAAAAACGCCGTGAACGAGACAAGTCATTGAATATACAAGGCGAGAACCAAAGATGAGAAGAAAGAGAACAAGGGCCAAAAGAAGACCAAGAACGAAGACCGTTGTTTTAGTGTCGTTGAGTCGGTCACAATTGTGATCAAGACCGACCCAACCTTTACACCTTGGCTCCTTAGTCTAAAATTCTTTTCATTTGCATTTCACACATCATAAAAATGTTTTTCAAACATGCTTAAAACATTAAAAACACTTGGTGTTCGCCCAAACCAAAAACCAAGCCATCCGGCGTTCGGGTTTCACAAACCGGCGTTCGGCATTCGGTTTTCGGTGTTGGTTTTTGGCGTCCGAACCAACCAAGTGGTTTTCTACTTTTTATGATTGGTTTTTACTTCTGGGCACATTTAAATAGTTTTTCATCAGAAACACTTCAAAAACCACCTTTCGTTTTTTGTCGTTTGATAAAAACCATGTGAAACGGCATAAACTTGGCTAGCCGTGGTTTTTACTTAAATGAAGTGGTTTTCGAGTCTTTTTGTGTGGAAATTGTTTTTGAATGCATTTAAATGGTTCTCCAATCAAAACATCATGAAAACAACCTTTTGGTTTTGTCTTATGGTGAAAACCACCTGTGTACGGTGTTGACTTGGTCAACCGTGGTTTTTACCTTAACGACGTGGTTTTCAACATACAAAGCTTATTTTGACATCACAATACATTAAATAAGTGTTTTACACACTTAGTTTTTACTTTGGAGAACTTTGCATTTTTCGGTCGGGTTTCAGTGCCGGTCGGCTAAGCCATGGTTCTGGACTAGCCATCTACCCAGCGATGGTAGATTTCACCCATGCATGGGTAAGTGATCCCGGGATTCCAGAATCATTTCTCCCAGCGATGGGAGATATTACCCATCGATGGGTAAGCAACCTTCAACCCAATTGAATTCCAGAACCATGCCAAACAGCGATGGGAAACTCTACCCATCGCTGTGCAAGCCTTGGTCCAACATTATCACAAGGCAGAATGCCCTTACCCAGCGATGGGAAGCTTTACCCATCGATGGGAACCCAGCGATGGGAAGGCTTAACCATCGATGGGAAGGCATGACCGTTGGAAGTCATTTAAGGCTGATTCTTTCCTTATTTGAAAGTCAACCTCCCACCCAGCGATGGAAAGCATTTACCCATCGATGGGTAGGTGACCGTTGGCTTCAAAACTGAAGGAAAATTGGCTTACCAGCGATGGGTAAGTCCCTAACATCGATGGGAAGCCAATATCCTGCAGATCCCAAATCTTTTCAATCCCATAAATCAAGCCAATCACCCCTTTAATGTATTGGTCCGTTGGAGCCTATTTTGGCACTATAAAAAGGGGTGTTTGGGTCTGCTTTACACACCAATTCACTTCACAATATTCATACTTTCATTGCATTCAAATAACATCATTTTCCATAGCTTTCTAGAGCCAAATTGTGTGAAGTTTGAGTTGTTCTTGAGCGTACTTAGTTTAATCATCATCTACTCTTAAAGAGAGTCTTGTTCTTGAGTGTTTAGTGTTGTATACACGTTAAGGGAAGCTTGCTTCCCTTGGTTGTACGAAGGAAAGGTATTTTCCTTCGGGTTGAAGTCTTGGAGTGCGGTATCTCCGAGCAAGTGTTGTTGAGGCTCGTGGGACTCGAGTTTTCAGGTTGTAACGGTTTGTTAAGCACCCGTAAGCTTAACGGAAGTAGTGTAGCTCGAGAGAGTCTCTCGGGAGACTTGATTAGCCACACATTGTGGTGAACCAGTATAAATCTTGGTGTGCTCCCTTTACGCTTTCTACGCTCTTTTCACGTTCTTAATTTTTTATTCTTGTGATTTCTACGATTAAACGCTATTCACCCCCCCTAATTGATCCGTAACTAAAAGTCCTTTTTCTTATAGTGCTACCTCGTCCTAATTAGAAACTAGAACTATAGGGAATGAAAAATGATAGTTTTGTTTTGGGCCTTTAAAACCCAATAGGAATAATTTCCCTTTAGTGCATAGATTTTTTTTTGGGCCACTCTTTTGGGCTTAGCCAAACTAGAACAGTTACGTTTTTCAAACCAAACGAAACTGACTCTTAATTAGAACAGTTTCAACACCTTGGTAACTGGTAAAAGATTCCTTTAACTTTTCAAAATTCAACTTCTTGGAAGTTGAAACTCTTTCACTCTCACCGTTCCAACTACCCACTAAATGGAACCCGTGAACCTCCCCTCTCTCAACCTCTCCTCCTATTTAAACCAAGACATTCCAATCCATTCCTATCACAAACAACTCTCTCAATATGAAAAATCTTCAAACTCACTGTCTGAGAAAAACACCAAGAAAAATATCCTCAATGGAGAAATTTTTCTTTCTCACCCTCATAAACGACAATGGAGAAAGCCTAATGAGAAGAAAAGACATTCAAGGTCTATGGTGAGAATCTCAGCAATAGAGAAGGTTTATGGTGAAAATCTTGCATTTTTCAGGATTTTGCCATACACCTTCTCCAGAACAACACTCTCTCCATTTTTGTTTCATCTTTTTCCTTTTCTCTTTTTTGTTCTTCAAATTTTATTTTCAAAATTTTTTATCTTGTCCTACTTTCATCTCTCCCTCTTCCCCTCTTTCTTTCTTTTCTTTTCGTTTATTCTTGCTATCTCTGCTCCCTTCTCCCAAGCCTTTTTCAATTTTTTTTCCAATTCCAGCTGTGATGCAAGCCTCTCTCTCTTTCTAGGCTTGTTCATCTTTTTTCAAAACTTTCTCTTCCCTAGTCACCATAAGTTTTCTTTTAAAAATCTTTCAAAATTTTTTTCCTTCATCTTTAAAAACCCTTCTTTTATCTTTTTCAATATTAATTCTCTTTTCCAAAACCTTTTTCTTCTCCTTCTGTCTTTTTCTTTCCTTTCACCGCCTCCTCCTTTCCCTCTATTTTCTTTTTGTTTTTGTTTTTGCTTTTTGGAGAGATGTTGCTTCCTAGATCTCAAATATCCACTTTGGATATTAAAGATCTATCAAACGCAACGCCATCTGTACTACCAAGCAAAATCCGCTGGAAATGAAAGCAGCAAATGGCAGAAAATATCACAAATCTCAAGACAAGACTTGGTTTAGCAATTGTTGTAATTTTAGTTGTATTTGTTTAAGAGTTTTTGTTATTAAGCTGTATATTATGAGAAACTAAAAGAAAGTTATAAAATTAGTTTTCAGTACAGCGACCGGAACTCTTAAACACTTGTTTGTCATCATCAAAAAGGGGGAAAATGTTGGGAAAAATATTTTAATTTTGATGATGATGTATTTAGATTGTAATAGGGATTTTAGGTCTCCCCCAATATTCAATGTAATTTTTCTTTTTAGAAATATTGTTAAAACCGAGTTCTTGAGATTTCCAATAAAATTTGTGATATTTCGCTTTGTGGTTTGATGCTTGAAGACTTAATCAAATTCAGTGATATGTAAATTGGATATCTTGATTGGAAATGTCAGAGACAAGTAAGGATTTCTCAAAGCAGTTGAAGATCCTCTAATCCGGAACACTACATGATAACCGGATGTCTCACTACAACCCGCTGAACGCTAAGTCATCCGAATAGGAAGACTAGCGCGGATCTCTTCTCACCTGGAAGTCTATGAATGACTCTTCCGGATTTGTCAGCGAAAGAACCGGATGCCTCAAGAAAGACCGGAACACTCAGAAGCGGACAAATGAGAAAAGACTTAGAAAATTATCTAAGTCTTGAATGAAGAGATTATACCTGTTGGTAAGGAAAAATCAATCTCTTGATTTTCAATGGCTAGATTGAAGATAATTAAACTGATTCAAGAACAAATGACTTGAAGACAAAGTCTGGACCTATCAAATTAAAGAGCTCGTCTAGAATTCCTAAACAAACACTAGAAGACAAACTGAGTAAAGAGCTACAGTCCAGAATTCTTGAACAACAGCTAGAAGACGGATTCTGTGGAAAAAGGAATCCCTCCTCAAACAATTGGGTATGTCCAAACACCCTTTCCAATGAGGAATCCTCAATCACAATCTTCATTCAAAATTGAAACCAGCAAATGCAACGGATAGCCTATTTCGATTCAACGGATAGA